CATATCTCCAATATATATACGGAGCAGGATTGAATGTATTAGGAGCAATATTTTCCCAGCTGTAGATCCGTGCTACTGTCACACCTTCTGTTTGTCTTCATACTTTGTCTTGAAATTAAAAGATAGTAGATGTGAGGCATAACTGAATTCCTGAAATAATTTTCTCAATGGGCAGTTCCGTCCTATGAGTGAGTTCACGATCTGTAGTGAGTTCTCTTTTAACCGCTTCTAAGGACATATTATTTAAATGACTAATGATAACAAAACTAACAGTTGTTTCTCTGTTTCTCTGATTAAATGTTATTTCGTTTCCATTTCCTCTCTTACGAATTATTTAACCTAGAGTTTGAATAATTTCTAATGCGATATAGTATCAGAGCTAAGTGTTTTGATAACTCATATGCAGGCGGACTACTGAAATCTACTATTGTTCGTATGCGGTAACCTGTATTATGTATTTTAGTGGTACCATATATTCAACTAGTATTATTAGTTTTAGGTATTAAAGTTAACCGTTTAGATCCACTCAGTGATGTCTTTATTCTGCGTATTAAATCCGCTGTAGATTTCTCAACCGTATTCATTATGGGATCTACAGGCTACTGAATTACCTCATATGGGCCCCTTTCAATATGTTCACTGAATTTCTTTATATAGTCAGCTTTATCCAAAACCATTAGGGAGTTTCCTTTATCAGGCTTTTTGATAACCACGTATTTTATCCTTTTTAAGATAAATTGCAACTATTCTTTCCAATTTTTCTGAGTTTGTCTGTGACTTCTTTTGTTTCTTTAGAGTTAATGCACATTATCTTCGAACCTCTTCTGCTGTCGTCTTATCTGTTCAACTCAGTTCTACTTCTGTGTTTGGAATGACGTATTCTGGTTTTAGTTTATTATTCTTTTAACTGAAATCTAATCATTTTTCAAGTAGTTTTATCTCACTAGTGCTTTATTCTCATGAAAAGCGGCTGATCACTAACTTTGTTTTGTCAGTGGAATATGAAACCTTGTTGTCAATTTCTCAATTTACTGTGCTGTACTTTTCTTCTAATAATATGTTAATTTCTTAATTTGTTTTTCGTTAATTTCTTGAAATGTCATCAGTAAACGTTTTTGTATAACACTATGTAATGTTATCAGGATAAAACTTTATCTATACAGGAATTGTGCTTTACCTCAGTACCCAAGGTTTGTTTGTTTGCAGTACAAATTACGAAACTTAGATAAAATCATCAAGCCATAACTCAGTTTTTGATGAAGGCAAAAACAAAAATACAAGCATTGATAATATTTACTATGATCCAGTGTCGTTGGGACTGAAATTATCTTCCACTGAAGGCAAGAGCTTGAGTAAAAGTCAGATCAGACAGAGATATTATGAATTTAATGATTAAGTTGAAAGGAACAATGACAACTAATGAAAAAGCTGCTTCGCAGTTGAAGGTGAACGAACTTGAAGATTTGAGGGAGTTACTTGTATAAATTGTTAAAGGCCGAACTTTTACCTGTTACTTTCTCCATTTCGCTTAAACTTGCTAGTAAAAAACTACTGACTGGAATTACAGCTCACTTTTTGACTGGTCTAATCTCTTGAATAACATTCAACGTCGATTTATTTTTTGTTTGAACGTGTACTTCAAATGAACCAGTGACAAACATTACAGAACGGATTATTACTGATTTGTTCTACAGAAGCCTCTATGTTCCAGTTCTAAGGCAAGAAACAAATAATCATGAACGACAGTGTCACAAACAGCCCACTAGTTTGTATGACGGTCGTATTGAAAGTCAGCTGAGAGGTAGATAACCAAAGACACGTTTGGAAAATCAAAGTATTAGTGGCACAAGTGAGGAGATATAAATGTAATTGAATCATAGGCTGACAAGTGATCAGAAAATCACTAATTTTGTCATGATAGTAGTTTAAATACTAGAAAAATAGATTGGACAATGTAACAGATCCGTCTTGTTTCAAACGTAGGATTTAATTGTCTATGATTAGATTTGCTAAGATCATTTTTTATTATGAATTGAATAGATATTTTCCCTATAGTCACAGATGATACTTTGCAGGAATAGGATTTTTCGCTCTTTTGTGTTTTAGTATGTCATGTTATATAAATTGTTCACTTGTCTACCTAACTCGTGAGCTTCTCGATGAATAATTAACTTCAAATTTAATTTTGTATTTCCTATGTAAATTATTTCAATATTCTAACTATTTTAGACGAGTTTTCAACATCGACGCATCCCTTTTATCAGTTCTACTTTAAAGAAAACAACACGCACAACTATACACCTCCCTTTGTGACGAGAATTATGATCATTGTATTAATAAAGTGATAAATTTTTTTCAACCTGTGTTACACAAACTTCCTCGAAATCCTCTTATGTCAGTGAATGTTCATGTTTGAGATATGTACTTCACTCCAGCCTAACCTTGTTTCTAAAATCTTTATATTTACACTAATGTTTTGTGACTGAGTAAACATTACAAGTGCTGTATGCCGATATTTAAAAACAGTCTGTTGCTTCATCATAATGTGAAAATTCTAGCGCAATTATGAGTACAGTGTACATCTTATCGATTGGGTCAAGCTTGTTGAATATCAAGTGACGCGACGCTGTGAAATACATTGTCGCTTTTCCTAATGTAACAGGAAATCAACCGGTTATACCACTAAATGTTAGTTGGTATTAAAAAATTAATGTGCACACGAGTAGAAATCCGATGGTGTTTCGCCGCATTGCGTATTTAAGCGCAATTACCTCTGCAAGTAAGTGATTCAAGCTATACTCGCGAATATTGTATCTGATAGTCTCACTTGTATTGTATACATTTAACTTTTCGAAGCAGACAATACACTGGCTTTGTGAATTGTGTTCATGTATAGTAATTACACAACAAACGCAAACTTACAATCCCCTTATTCTTCTAAACAAATTGCTAAGAGAATCACTTTGTCTAATAATGAAAACACAGTTGAAGGTTTATCAATCCTTTGTGAATGTTGAAACACTCCTTCACACACTTCTTTACACATTTGACCAGAGATAACAGTTCTACGCTATTGAATGAAATCCCGCATAAAATGCGTCATAAACTATTTCTTCGGCTGACTTGAAGAAGTACAAGTTTAATATCTTGGTTTTAATGCACACCAAATATATTCATGACTTAAAGCTTTAGTGATGCTGTTCCTCAACTTTCACGCTGATTATTGGTAATTGACTGCTGTCACCTCATAATTCCATCTGATTTCAAAATGCAGAGCAATCAATAATTCAGAAAACTTAAAAAGATTGGTATAAATTGGCTATTTAATATTAGGCAGTTGTTAAATAAGGCTTACTTTCATAATATTTTTCTTCAGAGGCTTCTGTCTTCGAGATTTGTAAATATTGAATACAACCCAGGTTGATAAACTAACCTGTAACCGGAAGGTCCTAGGATCGAACCCCCAGTGAGTGAGTAGTGCCCATAAGTCTCAAACTAGGGAGACAGCACTGCTGCCTATTAATTCTTGCTGATTCTGAATTCCTTCCAACTGGAGAAGCAGAATATTTATTAACGAAATCTCCATGAATTTCATGCTAATTTCACACACCTATGTATATGTTTGATGACAATGAGTAAGCCTCGAATATTATACCTGTCTTCCATGACATGCATGGAATTTGTAATTACTCAACTCCACTTCAAACTGTTTAGTGAAAGAGTCATGTAACGCGCACTTCAGGTAATATTTTACTGAGAGTGAAACTGATGTCCTCGTATTCTTACTGACGAGATGACGATTTGTTCAAGAAAGTATGAACATCACTAGCTACACAGCTGGTGAAAGCTTCTTATAAACCATAAGACAACTTTTTGTTACTGAACACATAGCACTAAATGTATCCCTAAGTAAATTGGCACCGTTCTGAGCAATAAGTGATATGGATTCAAAGTGACCATTGTACACAACAAGTGGCTCAAATCTCGCGAGAATAATTAGAAAGACAGAAGGTATAGGAGTGGTGGAATTTTTGTATACTCCAATCGTCAGATGGTCAACGAGAGTAAATTCGTTAACGAAATCAACTGTTTCCAGCATGCTGACGCAAAACAACTTCTGTTGATATCTCTAAAAATCTCTGACAGTATGTGCATGTTTTATTTTTCATGAAACATCTTATTCTAACTGCCAATTATCCTCACTCGTCTGATTGGTAAATAAATCCACATTACAATAGAAAAACACAGCACAATGAGTTATATTTAGCGAGTATGTTGCTCCAGGACAAGCGTCATGTGCTTGCATCATTCTGATTATAGAAACCAAATGATTGACTTGTAGAAATATATATATATATATATATATTCCTAACCGTTAACGCAAAAATTAAAATATCAGATAAATGCTCAGTCACATGTCAATCCACACAGTCTCACTTATTCCTGCACATTACACAAAACTTTCATTTTTATCATCTTGAGTAGAAACTGTGTGACTTAATCAATCAAAACTGGTGATTTATTTGAAGGTGGTTTGATATCTAGACATGAATAACACATTACAGATATATTACGTTTAGTATATGAATTTGTGAAAATGAACACTAGTTTCCGTAGATGAAAAAATGTAGAAGACGGTGTGAAGTCAACAGAAATCATTGATATTCAACTTATTTATGTCCATTAGAACATTTGAAGTGGTAATTTTGAATGTTTAGTCAGTAGTGACTTCTTCAGTGTGACCTATTTGCCAAGAAATAAATACAGCGAAAATATTCAATAAGACACTTAGAAAACAAAGAGAAGAAACAAATAAATGATGAATGCAGATTTTGCACAGTGCAAATTTATTTCAATTTTAACACTATATGACATATTTACGGAATAAAGATAAAGAAAGCTTTTCATGTTCTCACATATGCAGTCTGTGAATGCCTTAAAACACACACGGCATCATGAATATTTGTACAACACTGAGTTGCCTCAATCAACCACTGTTTAATAGTCCTCTCACTGTTACTAATAAATTACTTCACATTTCATCAAGATAGCCCAGGAGCTCTATGAATTCGTGATGGACAACAGCTTTCAAAGCTTGATTTCCAACTGGAAGTAATTACGAGGTAGTGGGCATAAGGTTGAAGGAGCTTAAGGGATTTGTAATTTATCATCACTCTGTTGTGGAGTGTGTGTGTTTATTATCACTGTTTCGTTGAGTTCTAGTTCCAACAATTATGTGAAGGATAAATCACTTTTAACATCTGATGATAACCATATTCACGAACGTGCTCCTCACATTGTCTGTTAGTTGAACCGATATCGTCGGGCTGCTTGTTCTGCGGTCACTTTCAGTGATTCCAAGAGAGGTGTAAATATTCTGATTCCTTCATATTCCCAAATGCTAATTGTGTACGCTTTATATGGCAAAAAATACTTGGAAAACTTTTGTATTTTATCAAGTTTTCAGGGAAATCAGTTGAATGTATATATACCAGAGAGATTTTGCTGCTTGTCAAATTAGAATAAAATGCTTTTATTAACGTGAAATAATTGCAGAAAATAGCACATTCAACGTGAATTTTAAAACTCACCTCACAGTCATCTTCAAGTTGATCCTCCCTAAAATCGCAAGAAAAGTGGCGCAATCAAGAGATCTTGGACAATTTCCCCTTTTGTAGGTTTGTACAATAAATATTTCTGCCCTCCTGGTGACGATATGTTTACTTACTGAGAACTTCTCTTTCATAATGAAGTGAGTATTTAAAGTTTGACTTGTAGTTCATCAATTTTTTTCCTGACTTCTTTCTCTTACTAGTCATCAGAGATCTCCATGCAACTTCGGTACTCCTGTTTGGACAATTTCTTTGAGGACGTTCATAAAGTAGGTGACAGTTCTGACATGACTTGATAAGACTTTGAAACTAATGGTCAACTTTATCATCAACAAGTACTTTGAGGTATTCATCATAGTGCTCAAAATGACGGTTGTAAATACATTTGAATTTAACAAGTGCAGGAGAAATAACAGAGCATTACTGCATAATCACTGAAGAACTCTTGACCTGCTTCAGCAATAGGAGTCCAAAATAATAATATCCCGAATGAACATTCCACTGTAGTTCGCAGATTTCTCAAGCGTTAACCATAAAGCAACTAAAAACCTCTCAGTTGGGTGATCGAGATCAGCGAACACACTGTCACAAGAAATATACAGGCTAGCTGTACTTTTCTGTCCTCTAATCGTTAGTACGCAACTGTCAGTTTCAGTTGAGAATTATGTGGTATAATACAGACAGATACTATATGCTTAATAGCGCATTAGTGAACACACGTCAACGTACAGTGCAGTTCCTTTCGGAATTGGCTAATTATTTGTATATCTGATTTATTGGAGTATTCATTATTCGTTTACTCTTTGTTTACTCTACTTGTTATCCACCAGAGCTCTTACTTTCATTTTGACGTTTCACTTCAAACGTCTTTACTAAAACTCAAATAGAAAGATGACAGTTCTTTTAACACTGGAATGATATAAGGTAGTTGTTATTTTAAGAGAAGGAAGCGATGTAATAAAAATCTCGGATACTCAACTCGATCGGCATGAAATTCAAACTTGCTTCTAACTCATTTATCGCTTGTACATCTTTCACAGTCTGATTATATTGGGTATCCTTTAACCATTGGCAATCAGTCAACTGTTGCACTGAAGTTTTTGTTCAGATTCCACACTACGGTTGGGTCTGAATGTTGGCAATTTGAAAAGCAGTGACGACAATGTATATTCAAAATTTCAGCAAACATTTGTTACTGACTTTTAGGGCAAGCAAAGGTAATGGTAATAGTCGATTGGAAATGCATAACACGGTTTTAAATCCTAAGGGAACCGGATATTTATCGGTTTTAAAAATAAAACCCCACTACCCCTAGGTAACCACGAAGGATTGAAGTGACCATATAAACATCTTGAATAATAATTGGATAGTTCTGCATTAAATATAAATATATGAGTCAAGTATATTCACACAGAGTGAACAGATATCTTTGTGCTTGCTAACTTAGAGGTGAATTCCACCATCAAGATCAAATATGAAACATTACCACTCTCATATCATTTCTTATCCCACCAGGATATTGACTAGAGTCCTGCTGTAGTTTCTGTGTGGTAATGTGAAACATTTTTTAAGGGAGCGAAAATGAATTGAAATAATTCCAAAAACAAAGTCAAACACGATCATAGTATGAGCATGATTCATGCAGCTAATCATAGTGACTTACCGACGATTCTGCACTACCCTGATATCATATCAGCAATCAGTGTAACCCGAATTACTATTATTAAATTCAACAAATATTATATGAAACTCAAGGGGAACTGGTTGAGCCTCCTACACAAATAATTGAAATGTCTTCGTATTTTGATATATATGTATATATATATATATAAACTGGCCAACGATTATTTTCAAGCACATTCATTAATAATTGTGATCGATTAACGGCTGTATTTTCGTTAACTGAAATAAACCTTCACTCTTTATCCCTGTTATTTTATGACTGGTTATTTGATCATTACTGCGAATGTATATCTGATTTTGATAAGTTTACCAAACTGTTCTCGAAGAAATTCAGTTTAGAAAGTAATAATACTGCAAATAGTTCAACCAGAACACAAACGTTTTCAATTACACGTGCAACTAGTTAGAAATCTGTACTTGATAGTAATCATTCTAAATCGTTATTATTAAAAAAACTTACTAACGCCTGAGAAGCCAAGTCCTGCAAAACGAACAAGTAGTGTAACTGAACGGATGCTGCTCAAAATGTCGTTAGTTTCAACTTTACTGACGAAGATTTTTTTCTGATATTTTCACGGTCAGTGATTATTATTATTATTATATCCCTTACTTCCTAGAGGAACTAGGGCTTCAGCCGTGCACCTCCATTGCCTTCTGTTTTCTGCCAACTTTTTCACTCCGCTCGAAGTCTGCCCACATGCTTTCATCTCCTCCTCACATGACCTCCTCCAAGTCCCCCTTGCACTGATGACCAACTCGCCGATTCCCTTTCGGGTTCCACTCGAGCGATCGCTTGTCTAGTGATGTCGCTTAATGGTTTCCTCAGTGTATGGTCAATCCATCTCCATTTTTCCTGCCTATTGTTACACAATCGGTTCCTGGTTGGTTTGCTCTCAAAGATCTTTGTTGCTGATCTTTTCTGGCCATCTGATATTGAGTATTGAGTGAAGACAACTGTTGATGAAGGTCTGAAGTTTGTTTGAGATGCTACTTATGACTCGCCAAGTCTCTGATCCGCAAAGTAGCACTGACTTCACATCGGAGTTGGAAATCCGGATCTTATTTTTGATACTGAGTGATGCTGACCTCCACACAGACTTAAGGGTAATGAAAGCCGGTCAGTGTTGCTGAGGGCAATTAGGTTTTCATCAAAATGTTAAGAGCTGCTAGAATGATACACTCATGACTTACTAAGAAGTCGTTAAGATGCTACAGAAACCTCACGCTTTATAATCTCTCGAAACGTACCTAACTGAGCACCAAAACACGCTATGCACATCAACAATTTCTGTGAATTATTTAAGTGTGAAAATTACTTTTTATTTTTTATTTATTTTTTTTATTACAGCTTGATACCACACCGTATTTTCGGTACAATAAGGAATTTTCAGCATGGATATCGGTAGCCCAAATTTTGCAGGCCGATCATAGATATCAGGTGTGTGTCCGCAGGGGAATGAACCCCGGACAATGTGCATGGTCCGAAAGAGTCCTAACCACTGTGCCACTGACGCTTATTGAGTGAAATATTGTCATCTCGTGACAGTCACAATCTTTGCAATGATTTGAATGAATTTCAATTGATAAGCAAACAACAGAATAACAATGTACTGCATGTAAATGTCGTCATGCTTACAAAAGCCTTCTCTGCCAACTTCTTGTCTGAAATAAAATGTAGCACCGAGTCACATGTATATTAATAGTTGCTCTTTTTAGTGACCTGATAGTTCATGTGAAAAAAAATTATGTGTGAACATTACCGAGACGCACTTCTGTTGAATGCCATAAAGATATCAATTTTCCTAAACACATCAAACATTTCATTTAGGAAAGCTCTTCGATAAATTACGCAGAAGTATGCATTTGCACATTTTCGGCTACACTATCTATTTGCATACAAATAGTATAATAATTTAAGTACGTAAAAACGTTTTGTAAAGCCTAATAGTAGTAGGCAATCATGGTTGTGTCATTATAAATATCATGAGAAGTGAATTTTCTTGCACGTAATCAGCATATGCCTTCAAAAGGCTCTGTGAAAAAATTGAAATTTTGCATGTATTTAAGTACTCTGTCCATTTACATATGCGTGATATAATATCTAGGCAACTTCAAGGATCTTTGAAAACCCAAGCCATTATATGAATTCTGTGACAAACTGAATCTACAGCAGATTAAAGCCAGCCACTAGAATGATGTTACGCGAAGTTCAATCTTCCGTCACTTTAAGGTCTGAACTAATGTTATTGAATTTATAAACTAGAACTGAAAATTGTTGTAACCTCCCAAATACCAGATCAGATTCATGGAGGAAAAGCAGTTTCAAAGTAAGACGGCAGTCATACACATTGAAACTGTAAGCATCTCAGGAAATCACACAGATGAATAAGTACAAATACAATGAAATCATATCACTGGGCTAATGATTGTCGCTATCGTTTGCGAATATCATAACAAGATATGAAAGATACAAAACATGCAGAATCTTACAGTCACAAAATGTGGAGTTCGGAGCAAATAAACCTATGAATGAGTGAAATGACAATTTGATTCGAATGATGATGGTGATGCTATTTAATAAAAGTCGAAACATTTCTGTAGAAAATGGTAGCCTTGGCACAGCATATAGTTAAACATTCATTCCGGCTTCATTGGCATGACCCTATCTGACATCACAGATGAATGTCACATTCATGTCAATGAAACTCTCCCCCATCACATAATCCGTCTCTCTTTCCTGTCTATGAATAAAGCATAATTCTGAAGACCTATTGTGTTGGAAGCGCTGTTTCACTTGTCGGTAATGAATATCAAACTGTTGCTTTCAGTAGGTATATTCAGCCCTGAAAATTGATGAGACACTGTTAAGCTCACGAAACAGCTTTCACCGGCAGAAAGTGTCGGAATGTAAAAGAGAAAAAAATGTATATTCACACAAAACCACAGTGGATTAAGTGCAAGTCAGTAAACACAAGAGCAATAAGGAATTCAATTCACAATGTTGCGACACCTTTAATAATAAGACCTCACGGTCCTTGAAACTCACAACCATTCCGATATTTGATACAGTTGTCTAGCTGAAACAAACTGTAAGTAATCCTGATATGTATGCTAATTAACGATGGCGATTTGTCACACAGAAAGATAAGTGGTAATAATTCCTTATAAAAAAGGTTTCCCTCAACTCTGCGTTAATATTTGTAGACATTCCATACACTTATATTAAGAAACCAAGACGGCTCAGTATGCAACCACTAGAAGTAATAATTACGAGATTCAAATTACGAAAATGTCAAAATCAATTATTGGGACTTACAAAACAGCCACCATAGCCACCATGCTTCTGATTGTGGCAGGAACATGGCATCTGAGATATTAAACATACATTATAGGCGTCACTCATCACGTAAAGAAACCTGGTGCACATGTATAAATATAATTCAAATATTAAACATTATCAAATGACGATAAAATATAACTAAAGGATGTATCACTGTCTCATTTGTCATAAAAATGATGAACTACTTACACAGAAAAATTGACGCTAATAATGTCCACCATATTTTGCTGAACATGTCTCTGGCTTGACAAAATGTGACTGACGAAATATGAGTAGCGAACAGCTGTATATATATTCTGTTAGTCCAATCGTATATTGATGCATACAAATACCACTCACATCACATAACACGATTTCATGTGAAACCTACACAGCACCTAATATTTTATTTGTGATGTATTTTTATTCGCTGAAACGCATTTCACCTGTGAGTGACAGACACGTGAACTGAAGCCAATTCTCATTTGTTTGGATGTAAAGTTCTTCTTGATTTCTATGTGTTTCGCCTCTAATTCTTTACACTTCTATTTTCATATAGTAAATATGAAGCTAAATTTGGTGATATTCTATACAGATACATAAATAACTAAGAGAAATGAATGTACTATAAACTGTTTTGAGTCTTAGTCAATGTTTCATCTCCTAGACGTTGAACTACGAAGGAATGCTGACAAGTGACTAAGAAGCTCTATCTACGAAAAGCCCACATGGAACGGACAGTTTATCAACTTTCAAAGTTGCGTATCCCTAATCAGAAAGAGGAACCTAATATACTCTCTTTTCTTGAGGATCCGAGATATTTTCACTTAGGAGACAATCGACGAAGAGATGCGAAATCTCTGAGGGACCTTGACAGAAAATGGATTCTCACCCAGATTCATAGACAAGAATCTGGAACCAAGGTAAACACCTGAAAAAGACTCAAGTCGCCACTAGCAAAAGAGTAGCATTCTCTTGCAAAGAACTACTCACCTAGTACGTGAAAGACAAGCTGTTGCATAGAGCCAATCCAACATGCATGTACAAGTTCACTTGCTCGTGTGAAACCGAGTACATTGGCCATAGAATGAGTCCGCCTGTACTAAAAGCGCTTGGGAACACTATCAAGCATGGTTAGGAAAGAGAAAACACCAGTTCAAAAACAGAATATTCGGTGAACTCTGAAGATTCAGCTGCATTTGAAGTTTTTCAAAGCCACATTTAAGGTCCAATCAATCCCATCCAAAGGAGTGAAATCACGACATCTACGAAAAGCTGAGGCATTGGCGATACAAAACTGAAGTCTACTCCAGGTTTTCAAAATAAATACGTTTAACCGTTGTCCCTACCGTGGTCAACAGTAATGATTATGCAATACCCTTCTTTGTTCAACCTTCCCGTTTGTTTCTGTAATATTTACGTCTTTAATTTTAATCTGCATTATTGGATGTGGTTACTGTTTTTTAATTTTCATTTTTATATGTCGGAACCTCCTAATTATTTTGTTAATACCACGTCCTTAATCCTTAATTGTGCAAGCTGATGAGTTTGCCAGTAATAATAGTCTTATTATTTCTCTTCTACCTGATTACTACACTTTACAATTTTTTTCAATTTGACGTTTGACTGAAATGCGTCGCACTGGATTAGAAATGTAAGTGCACTACAAAGTGGTAATAACATGAAACACGTAGTTTAGACGGTTGCAGTAAACTTAATGAAAAACTGAGTTCTACTGTTCTGATTAGGTAGTCATAAATAATATAGCATGTTGAAATTACAGACATCATTGATGCTAAATATAGGAATAACTTCGAGTTATCAAACGAGGAGCATCATTATGGATTCCCTGTTTCACTGCATATACGAAATACATCACAAAGATCAATGAAGCATAAAACTGTTCTGTAATCCATAGAGATAGATCATTTTTAAAATGGTATTTGGAATCAATACGTCGGTCTACAGCACGGTATAGCCGAATGTCACCACGCACGTCATGCATTTGACTGGATTTTTCCCACCAAAGCGTGCGTAAATGAACTGCAACGGAATATCCCATGGAGTTGTTCTCAATAATTTACCTCAATTTTAAATAGAAATTTAAATAAGCAGATGAAAAATTCGTATCTCAGAGTGAAACTCAGGACTATTGGGAGGCATTTTATGGAGAATAGATATCCCGAAAAATCATAATAAAATGTGGAAGCGAGAAACACCTGGACCAAAACATGAAACAGTTGTAAATCAGTCGGTTTTCATCTCTTTAGCTTACGTAGAGGAAGAAGTGTTCACAAGAACCAAAACAAAGTCAAGAGCGCATTGAAGAGAAACTACCTTGCCAACAAACCGACTCCTCCTTACAACACGGTATGCTAGTCAACTTCCTCAAAAGTAGATAGGTATCATGTCCCTGTTAATATCAACTGCATTCACCAGTTCACTAGCTTTTGCGATACCAAGTATACATGAAGGACTGAAAAAACAGCACGTATCAAATATCCAGATCGCTTAGATACTGAACCTTGCGCAGGTTTCAAGAGACTAAACCTAATATGCAGAATACTTTGCACTGTCACTGCCACGGAACAACAGAAGGCGTGTTGTCTGACCGCCTTCAGTTATTCATATATTTTTGCTATCGCAAATGCAAGTGAACAGGATGTGCGTCGGTGGAACAGTGGTTAGGACTCTCGCCGACCATGCACATGGTCAGGAGTTTGAGCCCGCACCAACGCACACCTGATATCTATGATCGGCCTGCGAAATTTGGGCTACCGATATCCATGCTGAAAATTCCATACTTGTACCGAAAATACGGTGTGGCATCAAGCTGCAAATCAAAAATTAAAAAAAAACTGTACAATGGTCAACCAGTGACAAAGTTTGAAAATAAACGTTAATTTAATATGCAACAGTACTTCTGATCGCATTTGTCCACTCTTCTATCAGCCAGTAAACGACTGATCGATGAAAGCCTTCTTGTCCCCTGTTAGTATGCTGATTAGTTCAAACAAACAAACTATTCAATGTTCACCAATATTGACAGCGTGTTTTACATTTTCTGTGTAAGCCCCTAATGGTAGCGGTATCGTTGGAAGGAAAGTGTTCTCAAGTGTAATTGCCAGAAACCTGATTGATGCGGGCATACAGTGAAAAAACGTTAGTCTTTCAAAATTATCATTACACCAAGAAAACCCTCATTACTCACCTCACAGAATTCATTGCTATCAAACGATCTTCAGCCTCTCTCCGTATAAAGAAAGATAGCGAAATAAATATCTCACTGCTCTGGTGAGTGTGGTTGTTTCATTCGTGTATTCATGTACCTGCTCCTGTAACGTGACATTTCACTTAGTTATGATTATCACAAACTGAGTTGAACTCACTCCTAACTTCCTAAACATACTTAATTGATTATTCCTCCCCAACCTCTTAAAACTTTCCGTCTTATCAAGTGTAAAAATTCACTCTACTTCTCGAACTTTTATTCTTTCTCCAGTCACTTCTGTTTCTAATCACAATCTGAAATCTTTCTGTCTCACCTCACTCACCCATCTTACTTTATTATACTGCCTCCATCATTTCACCACTGTGTTGCTTACACCTTATATACAAGTTTAAGTTGACTGTGAGAATATATGTTTGCAGTTAAAAAGAATTCCTAAATAAAGCCAGTTCGTATCATGATGAAGTTATGTTTATTCTTTCTTTCTTCAAACTAATATATGGACAGGATTCAATTTAATATCCACGCATATTTCATATTTATGTATCAAAGTGCCTAACAGAGAAACTGTGGGTTATATGCTTAAAATTCTGAAGAAAGAACGGTACATGGATGAAAAATCTTTTCTTAATGAAAATAACCACTTTTAGCCCACATTCTGTTCAACTAGAAGGCATACTGAAATCATATTATGTTGCCATGATACCATTGCTGACATCAAATATCAGCTAAACAGAAACATTATTTTGTAAGAAAAATGAGTCTAGCGGTCACCATAACCTCATTGTCTCCAGCTGCGGTTATTAAGGGCGAATTTCATGCACTTTCTGCAAATGGAGATTTTTCACGTTGTTTGAGAGGAGCTTTTACCACGGGTAGGTTGTGATGCTCGTTTCCAAGCTACTTGATGAACGATTTTTGAAACAAGGAGCATGCGCTTCATTCCTATTTTTCAAGAATGCAATTAAATAGCTAAAGCTACGTAAAATTGGATACTTTTGAAGCAGTTCGCTGTACGGAAAATTAGGTAGCTCACTGATTTAAGCATGCCAACATTCATCACTGTTTTACGACGTAGTGACAAAAGCAACAGACTTCTTTACATTAGTTAACGTTGTTGAAATTTCATGGGGTGTGCGGGAAAACAAGTATTTCCCACATCACACTTCGTCTGCATAAGCTGAATCTGTGTGTTGGGAAACCCCCGGTTTTGCTGCATTGCTGATCACGAAATATGGTGACGCTATAAACTATGTCGCCCTCCGAATTTATCTAAATATCAGTGGGTGCAGTTTATGGACCTCAAGTTCTGAGGAACAATCGGTTGTAAGGGGGTGAAGTGAATTTCAACGAAAGAGCGAACGTCCATACGTCACTATACATACATAAAATGTGTCATTTGTTGCTAAAATGGACTTGAATTTTCGAATATTGAAATAAAATATCTGAGGAGAGTCACATGTGAATCGTATACAAAGCACCCGATAACACTGCATCATATTTTAAATAGATAAATGTAAACACACAAATATCGATCGAATATTCATGATGTTTCGGAATGTGGATTAATTATTCTGCATATCGGGTGTTTGTATCAGGATGTCGTCTATGTGAAAACAAAATGCTGTTTGAGATGGTTGCAGATACATTTCATCTAAAACAAATACTTGAATTCACATAATCTAGTGTATCCTGTTTATGAAAATTAAAAGGATTATAGGACTTCAAGAACATACATGTAATCAGTCGAAAAATTGACAGTGTTTGTGCAAGGGTAATCGACCACAATGAACAAACTCAATTTCATATTGTCGCAATTCGGTTTCATAATAAGCAAACATGTAGTCATTAAGAATCTCGTCTTATTTTTATCAAATCTATGTGATCCACTAGTTCAGACAATCATCGCTGACAAATTCGAACAAATGACTCCAGATTTAACTATTTTCAATTCAAGGAACTATCAGTTATTTAATTTATCCAATCAGTGAAGTATGTTTATGCCAATGGAAAGTGTCTCTACAGAAAGAGCGCACTAATTCAACCTAAATATACAAAAACTCAGTGTTGCGAAGCTTATAATCATATCAAAATTGTTGCATTCAGTCGTAATACAGTTAATGGCATTCACATAAGTTGGTGGTGACTCCTGATTCTAAAAGAACGACATATATTTCTCGTTATAAATCCCTTTCAGTTTACCATATTTTTCGAATCGATTTGAAGGGAATCACTGAAGCAAATTTTGGTATTTTAATCATTTCGAGACTAATAGCACTCTGTATTTCGAAACGTATTCTATGTCAGTAGTAGTTTTCAACTGATTTCCTCGATGTCATGCCATTTTTGCTGTACGTTGTGCATGCGAATATACGATAACATTTTTACTCTTAAAATGGTAATTAGACAACAATATTAGTCCTGGTGTATTTTCGGATATTTCCCAACAGATTTGATATTTACAAAACTAGATCATCTATCATGTAAACTCAGTATGATTTGAAATAATAAAATTAGAATTCCTGTACATGAATTGGTGGATAATACTAACGGTAAAGACGAAAATAAATAAAATAGCAATAAATACCATGATGAATGCATTCAGGTGTCTGTATAACACAGGTAGTCAGTCATCCTCAATGTATCAGGAGGGTTTGTATATTCACAATGGTAAAGAGGAGTATTAATTGTTGTCTAACAGCGTTAAGATCATATATTATTTTTGTTTTTAGAATACTTTGCGGAACTAAGACTTAAGCACAACTTAAGTCACAACACCTTGGTGAAGATGGGGAAGGCAACATACATAAAGATAATATCTACATTCATATGGTTTTATCTGGATAGAAAATGGTATTACGTTGAACGTAAGAGCTTGGCAGGAAGACAGACGATGACAGTTACCTTAACAATGGTTAGCAATCGAAGCTGAACAAACTCAGTGAACAGAGACAGCACTTTAGATAGAAATGGTGAATACTGAACTTTTTAATCAGTTTTATTCTCCAAATCACCTAAGTATGCTAATACAGAACTACTCAGTGGATTTGATTTGTGACTTTTTATGAATCGGTGGCGAACGGTGTAGAACTGATTATAATTGAAGTCTCCATGTTTAACTTGAAAGGCGAGTAACAAATGTTAGACAGATAACGGTTTTGAAAGACAGTGTCATACGTAGATCATTATTTTATTCTCCTGCCGTCGTGGAAGTCAGTAGAGAAGTAGATAACGAGGGATAATTTGAGAAAACAAAAGTAATGGTCGTACAAATGAGGAGATATAAATGTGACTGAATTATACTGGTCTTTTTCTTAAATTAATTTTCAGTAAACACAGCCTAACAGGCAATTCAGAAATCGTTAATATCATCAGCGTGGAGATTTGTAAATTAGATCCATAGGATATTTACATATCCAAATATGTTAGACAATTGTGAACCCACAAAATTTAGTTTGCTAATCAATATTATTTTGAACTTAGTATTTAATGGGTTGTTTCTGCAGTTGCCGAAATCGTTTTGTCACGATGAATAAATGTGAAACTTTTTTTCCTAATACCCCAGATGATATGTTTCCTGTGCTTTCCCACGCCATATTTTATCGGCCACTCACTGATTTATTTACACATGAGCTTCCCAATGAATAACGTCAGATTTGGTTTCATGTTCTCTATGCAGTATGCGGTATTTGTTTTAATGAACCAATGATTACTTGTGTTTAACCTATCCATGAAATTTTCTTAAAATCCTCTGAAGTTACGCAGTGTTTCAACGTCAGATATACATTATACACCACCAGACCACAGTCAGTTCGCATCTGTAAGATTTCCACTTTGTATCCCCAGTTTGTTACTCGATGACGATTTTAAACGCTTCATGTCAGCAATGTAATCAAGTATTGATGAATAAAATACCTTCTGCTTCATCAAAATTTAGAGGTTTTGCCATCAATATGAGTTAATGTACACCTTATTGATGAAGTCTACTTTTTTAAACAATGTGAAATAATGTGTCACTCATCGAATTTCAGTGTTTCCCCCCGTGCAGGATTTTGAATGCAGCTACGTCTACAAACAAGTGATTCACACAATCCTCATGACCATTTTCGATAGTCGTACCATTTATCTTCTATATGTTTCACTTTTCAGAGTATATGATACACTGGTTCTGCAGTTTGCGTTCATGCATAGACATTTGAATCTGGACGAAAATCCTCAGTTTACTCGGTCATTTTGACAAACTTCTCATAGAATCACTACGTATAGTAATGCTTAACACTCTAAAGATTAAAACAGATCGTGATATTTATCAAACTTTTGTAAATGTTGGAAGGTCATGTTCGAAAATTATTTATGAATAAACTACATTCATCCATGCTGATGCAAAGCAATATCAGTTTTACGCCACTGGTTGAAATCCCACATAAAATGCATCAGAAAGCGTCTCAAAGATGCATCATTGCAACATATTACTTTGAATGCACTTTTGCGAAATATCATGTTGATCAATAATGTTTTTGAAGGCATTCATAAACGTTCACATCGACGGTTGTGAATCAACTCCTGTCGCCTTAGAATTACATCCGATTTTTAACTGCAGAGAGACATATAATACAGAGAATATAAAAAGGTGGCACAAGAAGGCTGTTTGGAAATAAAGAAGGGAGCACCAAGTGGGGTGGATTCCTTAAGTATTCTTTTAAGAGATTGATTTCGAAACAATCAGAACGACCTATTCAGATAAACCAACATGTAACCGGAAGATCTTGGGTCCAAACTCCAGCAGGTGGTTACTGATAATGAGCCCAAAACTAGAACAGAATAGTTGCCAGTCACTTCAAACCTTTTTCTAAGGGTCTTTAAATAAAATCATTGTGTGGTCAAACTTGAAACACATGAGTTCCTCACAAACCAACTATTGAAAACTAACAAATGAAATCATATTGCAAGACATACTTAGTATTATCTGCCTAATAAACCGCACATTTGCAGTTAACTAGTGATTTAAATTCTTATTTTTCTCAACACTTTCAATTATATATGAAAAAACATATAACTTTCAATCAGTAATCTCAGTCGTTAAAATTGTTTTCTTCCACAGATACCAGACGCAAATATCGATCAGATTCTCTTATGCAGAAATCGACTGTTTGAAAATTGAAGTATATTAGCAAATAGCGAATAATTGAATCTGTCACATATTTCTAGGATCACAAAATAAAGACGCTCACAATTCAATAGACAATAAGTATATTTCAAAATAAAGTCGTAGGCAAAATAGGCATTAACGAGATCTCCGTGAATTTCACTGTTATTTCACATATATGCATATATGCATGGTTGGTGCGATTCAGTAAATGTCTGAAATTATACCTGTCTTCCATGACATTTATGAAATATCCAATTACTCAACTCTACTTTAAATCGTTTAATGAAAGAGTCATGTAATCCACGTTTCATCATCAACCAAGGTTAGTGGAAATATTCATTTGCCATTCAAAGTTATACTACAGGTAATATTTTGCTGTGACTGAAATTGATGTCTTCATATTCTTACTGACCATATGACTATTCGTTCAAGAAAGTATGAACATCGCATGAACACAATGGGTTGCAACCTTCTATAAACCTTCAGAAGTCTTCCTGTTACCATCTAGCATTAAATGTATCCCTGGCACCGTTCTGAACTACAAGTGATAGAGATTTAAAGTGACCATTGTAGACAACAAGCGGTCCAAATCTCATGAGGATAATTCAATAGAGAGAAGATATGGGAGTAGTGGAATTATTGTATACTCTAATCGTCAGATGGTCAACGAGAGTAAATTCGTTGACGAAATCAACTGTTTCCAGTATGCTGACGCAAAATAACTTCTTTTGATATCTCTCGAAGCCTCTGACAATGTCTACATCTTTTATTTTCATGAGATATCACCTTATTCTAACTGCCAATTATTCTCACTCGTCTGATTGGTAAATAAATCCACATTACAATAGAAAAACATAGCACAATGAATTATATTTATTGCGTATGTTGCTCCAAGGCAAGCGTCATGTGCTTGCATCATTCAGATTTTAGAAACTAAGTGATTGACTTGTAAAAATATGTATTTATACTTTTGAATGCTTAAATTAAAATGTTAGGCAAATGCTCATTCATATGTCAGTCCCCGCGATCTCACTTATTTCTGCACGTTAAACAAAAGTTTCATTTTTATCATCTCGAATTTATTCAAATGAAACTGGTGATTTATGTGGAGGTGATTTGGTGTGTAGATATGAATAAGTCAATACAGATATATTACGTTTAGAATATGATTTTGTGAAAATAAATATTTCTTTACGTAGATGAAACAATATGGAGGAAGGTTTGAAGTCAACAGAAATCTTTGGTATTCAATTGGTTCTGAAAAATTTGAATTGCTAATTTTGAATATTTAGTCAGTGTTGACTTCTTCAGTGTGACCTATGGGCCAAGAAATAAATCATAATTGCACATTTTGTACAATGTAGAGTAATTCAGATTTTAAAATTATATATACATATATATGGAATGTTCCAAACATGACCCAACAACGATAGGTTACGCAGTGGGATATATGCAGTTGATGTCTACCTTAGAATATTTATTATATAAGCAATATTTGTTTATACTTAGATTTCTACAGTTCACTAATATTTACTGGTCATCTCACTGTGACAGAACGCTTTATTGAAATATGTCAGTAAAGCTTTCGTTACCTATGGAACAACAACTTTCGAAGTACAACTTCCCCCTTCAAAGTAAGTGCTAGGCGGTGAGAATACGATTCCAAGAGCTCTAGGCATTTGTAAAGAGTAATCTCCTGTTACTGAATGAACACTTCCTATGACTTCGGGTGGTAATCTTTTGCGAGAACTTCCACCTGACGGTGTTTGTTAGTCGAGTGGTAATCCTCACGTTGTTTATTCTGTGATTAATTTGAGTGATCTCCAGAGAGACCTAAAATACGTGTTTATTCAGTTTTCTGAAATGCACATTCAGGCTTTATAAGATAAAAAAATCATTTGGTGCAGTTTCTCGGAGACTTAGTTGATTGTAACCATATCAGAAAGAATTCTGTCGTCCACCTAATAAGAATCAAGGGTATATAAATTATGCAAGTATGATGCCTTGACTACTTTGTTGTCTGTATGTAAAGTACTTGCAATACGTAATTTAGAGATTTGATGATCATAGATTTAAATCATTGTTTTCAATGTCGACGTTGAAATGGGTTGATTAAGAAGAGGTTATATCGTGTGTTTGCCATTATAGCTAATAATGAATTACTGATTATTGGAGTATTCAAGACGGGGATAGATTAGAAACTGAAAACTTAGGCAGTATAACTGCATACTACTAAAACTACTGTGGTGGTTTGATACAGACAATGGGTTTCAACGGAATATTATTCTCACAGTGAGAATCATTGTATTTCTGAGTGGGTGTTAACGTCTGAATACTATTTGCACAATTCAAAACTGCATTAACAACAGATTCATATATATGTATTACAACATTCTTTTTCATGTCGTTTGATGTAAATGAAAATCATACACTCAGTGATTGGTTAGAGAATATATAGAGTGTAGAAATAAATCGTTGTTCAATCACTTGAAGAAAATATAACTTGACAGCTGTGTCTTGACTCCTGCTGTTACACTACCACTTCATGAGTATGAAATAGTCATTGACTTGCTGCAGTAAAACATTCGAAGAAGTAATAACACGCCTAATGTAATTTCCGAAACTCACTTCACATTTTATTGGGTCCTGACTAAAACAGCAAAAAAGGTATAGCAGTTGAACCATCCCAAACAGAGAACATGGTGACACAAAAGAAAATTCACTCCAACTGCAAATCAAATTGTAATTTTCGCCCATTGAATCTGCAGCATACAACTCTAATTTTCCATTGAGTATCTCTGTACAAAATTAGTTCCCGGAAGAAAGATAATTTACATAGCAAATCTCCTTCAAATTCAAGTGTTCGTTACTACCTTCAACTTTTAGTTTATTCATTTTTTTCCTTTTTTTTTTTTCCCTCGCTTGTCATCACGGGTCTCGCCTAAATTTTGACACTATCACTTGGATAGTTTCCAAGATAAAAATTCTAATCAAATTGAAAAATACTTTGAAATCAATGGTCAAGTATATCATAATTAAATACAAAGTTCATTATACTACCTAAAATGAGGATTAAGAATACATAAATAGTTAACTGATACAAAAAATAGTCGAGTACTGCAGTACAATTATCAAATAACTATGGGCCTGCATCACGTGGAGTTCCACCTTTATCTAAAGATCCCTCAAGTAATGAAATAAAAACTTTGGAATTCAATCGTTCGGATCAGATGACATGCTGTTATAAAAAATATCCATGCTAGCTACAAATTAACCTGTACATATCTTTCCGTCAGTCGTCAGTAAATAACTCTGGGTTTACGCTGGTTAATTGTATGCAATAATCCCAGCAAACCCAGTAATGTAGGAATGATATTCTTTGTCAAATTAAACAGAAATTTTATCCTGTAAAGTAATCACACAGACTTACTGAAGTCGGTGAAGTGCCACCCTATCATACACCCAATGAATATAATAAAAATCACCGAGGATAAACTTGACGAACACTTTCTGAGTTTTTGTTAGTGAAACAAATAAGATATTCCTCAGTCATGCTGCATGTCAAACATTCTACAATAGGAAACTCACAGAATCCTTATAAGCGAAGACAGGATTAACGCAAGCTGGCTGCCTACTATGTCTGTTGATTATCCTGATTGAGGTTGATGGACTGGATAATGTGAAAGACAGCGGTCAACGAGAGACAGGAATGAAATGGACTCACACAACTATCTTGGACGATCTGGATTTTGCTGATGATAATTGTCCGATTTCCACTAATTGGAAGATATGCAAGCGAAAAGAAACAAGTTGGCAGAAGAAGCATCCAGCGAAGATAGGACTTCAGTTGAACATAGAGAAGGTGAATATGGAGGTGACAAAGATTCTTGGACGACAGCAACAGCAACAACAATCAGCAAAAATGGGAGAAATCTGAAAGAAGCAACCTTCTTTACCAGCCTACCGACCTGGGAAATCAATCAAACAAAATCCCTACAAAACCAATACCTTAAAATTTACTTTTTCACTTTTATTTTAGTTCCTACTTATGTGAAGCCCTATGTAGTACGCTATTGTTATCTCATACATATTTCACAACATTTCTCTATGTTTTGTTTCGGACCTGCTTAACCCTGTAAATTATGGAGCGTCACTCAATTTACTCATTTTATTTTATTTTAATTACTACCTGATCAATGTTATAGTATTAAGTTATTATAGCCTGACACATATTTGAGAGTATCCCTTTCAAATCACTAGTAAAAATAGTAGAAATATAAATGTAGAAAAGAAAATCATCTACCGGCTAAAGGGACAATGAGTTACCACGAGCCTATCACTTTATTACCGTTAAGTTATTCACTGATTCATTGACAGGATAATAACGACCACTTCGTATGCGCATGCCGCTTGGCGTTGTCTTACTACGCAGATTATTCAAATAGATAATCATAAATACTTACGCCTGGTAATGCGCCACCCTATTTTAAAATAAGAAAAATCAATGTGACAGAAATCATTGATTATACATTTCTTGGATTTCAGACTCAGAACTACATGCATCAAGACAATCACATTCATTTTAGGTAAAATCCAAGTAGATAAAAACACTTCAAGTAAATAAGTAATTGTTATTTCTAATCTTTTAAAATTCCCTTGAGACGTAACTAGCAGGAACCGTGTTAGACCGTTAGTAATTTGCCTAGCAATGACGATCATCTGCAAATAAATTACTGAAAGACATTTCCAGGAATTCAATTCAGTGTTCATCAAATTCACTCACCACTGATGTTGAAGAGTTTAGAAATCGTTGAGGGTTTTTCAATGTTTTTATTTACAAACCGTCAATTTATTTATATGTTGCTTGCCATAATGAATAACCCGTGACTATAGAGATACAGGAACAATCAACGGCTGGATACTTCAGTTCGCTTAAAAGAGAATTTGACAGTTTCATTTGCAACGACAATTAAATGATATTGTTTCCCCCACTGAAGTTATTGGAGAACGATTTTCCTTGAATATGTTTCAAAACAACAGTAGCGGAATGACATTATTAGGCCTATTTACCACAAAAAACATTCAGCTCTCAAACTGCACTATGTGATGAGTAGTTATCATCTTCAGTGGGATCATTACCACGAACAAATCTCAGATTAGGAAATCTTCACCTGAATAGTTTCCAAGGTTATTGAGTTTCCAAGGGATAATTATTCAAATAATTCTGCAAGCGCGCAAATGTTTCCAGTAAGACTTGGAACTAGTCATAAATTTACACTTAATAGTAATCATAATAACTTACTAACATCCCAGAAGTAACATTCTGCAATGAGAACAAGTAACGAGAATGAATAAATGTGGCAGAGGAGTTATTAAAATGTCAATAATGTTAACTTTAATGATCTTTATACTTTTTCTGAAGTTTTCAATCTCTGAGGACGATCCGATCAACATTAAAGTGATCAGAAGCTGTTAGGATGGCGAACAATATTACTGGGAAGTCGTTTCAAGGCTTTCAAACGAATAAATTATGCACTAATTCGACTCAGATTATATATTTATGAGCATCAAGCATGCTACGCATATGTTAGAGTTTAGTGGCTTCCTCAAGAATATAAATTATTTTTTCTATTTTGCAGCGCTAAATTAATTGTTCTTACCTAAGTAGGTAAAAAGACGTTTGGAAAAATGTTGAGAATTCCAAGGTATGCGAATATTAAAAGTTATCTTTGAATGCACAAAAAATATCATAATTCTTACAATGGCGATATTTATCATTTTGCTAGCTGAAACATAGATTGCATTAGGTCACAAGTACATTACTACTGGTTCGTCTTTGTGTTACTCTATTGCACAAGAAATATCAATATGTATACATCATCCATAGTAAGTGCAATATTTTGCATCGAAATATACAAATCATAGGGAAATTTGTATCACCTCCTATGCAAAGAAGCATGCTGATAAATCTAATTAGAATTGAATTTTCTTGAACCTATTAAACATTTGTCTCCAAAAATGACTTGGGCGAGTTATAAAACATTAGGTATTCCCGTATACATTCAGGTACCCTATCTAATTACAATATATAACTAAGATAAGAAATGTTGAAAGCCTTCATCAGCTACAAGTATTCCTCAGAATATCAAGTCCATAAAAGAATAATATTTTCAGATCAAAGTATATAATTACTTACTGTCGCAAAATGTGTTGCCGTGATAAAATAAGCCTTTAAAATGAATGAATCAAAAGGAAAAAATTTTATTCTTGATTATTTATGATAAGTGTCGAAAGGACTTGTTTACTATGACTCAGTATACAGGTCAGAACCAGTTCAGTCATGAGTGAAATCGCTTCAATTGACAGTACAGGCTGACTTTACAATCTTGTCAGTAGAACCATCCTCTATAAGGCAGTCAGAATCAGCATTCCGAAGACCGCTAGGATGGACACCAGTGTTTTATTTGACGATAATAAACATCCAAATAACTTCCAGTAAGTTATTTAAATCCTTAAAATATATGACACAATGTACGGCTTATGAAGCAGTCTCTTAGACAAGAAGTGTTCAAAGGTAAGTTTGAGAAAACAAATACGTATCTACAGAAAATTTTAGGAATGTAAGACCTCGACTCTCAAAAACAAACATAGTAACATTAAAGCATTCGAATGACAATCATATACTACTTTGAGAAGTAAAGCCCAGTGATCTAAGTAGACTCTTCAGATACTAATTTTATTAGTTGCTATCCAGTCAAAATAGAATGTGAGTAGACTGGGTATACATGTTAATTATAGTTGGCATTTCGTTGCATGAAAGAATAATAGGAGATAACTCTTTATATAAAGAGCTTTCCCTTAAAAACATGCTATACACCGATATTTAGACACCATGACGGTTCAGTATACAATTACCAGGAGGCGTTTCAATTAATGAAAATGACACTGTTTTACAAAATTTAAAATCAATTAATGTCTTACAAATAAACCACCAGATGAACGATGATTCTGATTCAGGCAGGTACACGATAACTAAAATATTCAACAGACGTGAACGTCTCATATATCATATATATATATATATATATTATACAAAAACCGTACACTTCAAAATTACGACAAATTTGACTTATATGATGGAAGACTAACTGTTTCGTCATAAAAATGGGAAGCTACTACACCAGAAAATTGATGATAATAAAGTACACCATATTCTTCTGAACATTTTTCCGTCTAGACAATTTATCACTGACAAAATTAAAAAAAGGTAACAGTATAAATAGTGTTTGTAATCTAATCGCGTATTCTTATACACACAGACATACACTGAATCAGACCGCATCATGTGAAACACAGAAAACTCAGTAACTTCATTATGAGAAGTGTTTTATTCGCTGATACAAAAACACCACTACTAGGCAGACACACCAACACTCTCAAACACTCATTTGTTTAGTAAAAGTTCTTTTTATGTCTGCGTGTTATGTCTCTAATATCTTGCAACTATTTATTTGTAAAATAAAACTGAAGCCAAGAAACTTGTAGTTCTACACAGATAAGTAAATGACTGGGGGAGCTGAATATGTACCATGACATAATCTTAGTATATTCCAACTGATTACTCCTCAGTGTTTCTGTTGTTATGCTTTCAAACATATCGTAAGTGTTTTGGCGGGCGCAATCCTGAGAGTCAAAGCGAGAAATGCGTCAGTCTTTAAGAAGCAGATGAATAAAATTCCAAGTCACTATCCACAAAACTTGCTGCACTGGATTGAAAATTCCGGTGTACTGTGAAAAATGTTAACAAATTCACGATGACTGTGATGATGAGTCTGATGGTTTCAATTCACAGTATGTATTTTACTGCAGTTATGCAGAATTCAAATCTAACAGTACTTGCTTAGCTGGCTATCAGAGACACTCACTGATTTAACAATAATTATTCTTCACCTTATATACCTCTTGATGTAGTGATGGTTTCAGCTAAAGTTGTGACTGGATATCTCCTGATTTGCAACTGAATTTAATTTGAATAAATCTATATGATTGACTCTATTGGCTGAGAGTATTGCTTCAATTCTAATGTTGTGAATTGATCTATTCTTACTCTCCAAAACCTAATAGTTGTTTGATGTTAGCACCTCATATTTGACTTGACCAAGACGGTTGATTCCCTCGTAATTGCAAGATTAAAACTTAAGGCATAGCCAAATATCTGTCTACCCATCCATTAAACACAGCTGCTTTTTCATTTATAGGTAATTAACAAACCAAAATTACCACTAACACTAAGACAGTCTGTGGCACAGTGGTTAGCACGCTCGCCAGCCATGCATGTGGTCCGGGGTTTGATTCCCGGCCGACGCACTCCTTTACCTCTCTATGCCAGAAATAATGCTGGTAAAGAGGAATGGTTAGGCATGAGGCTAGCAACCCCATACTGTAAAATAAACACTGCTACAGAAACTTCAAGCAACTAGCTTGAAGCCTTATATTCCACTGGGGAACTTGAAGGAAAGAAACTAAAAAAAACTAAGACAGATACAGGATAAAAAGCTGATCATATATATATGCACCACATTTTGCATTGTGACAAGCAGTGACATTTAAAATACTCGTTTCTTCCTATTTAAAAATGACAACTTTATTGTTACGATGCTGATGGCAGTCTTTATGTGCATCTCTTTATGCAGACAAGATATTGTAAATCACTTTCCATAGGAACCAACTATAGAAAAATAACGCTTCCGAATAAATAAATGGACAAAATAAAAGAATAAATTTTCACTCGGATGACGATGTTGTTTGAATAGTGTGTCAAAACGAAATGTTAAACATGACTCAGTATACAGCTCAAAACTCATCTAGTCTTCACTGACATGATTCCACCAGACAATGTAGGTCATCACCACAATGTTGTAAGTCAATACGTCCCCATCAAACAATCCAAAAGAGAACCCTGAAGAGCATAGGTATGAAAATATGTGTTTCATTTCACAGTAATAAATATCGAAATTATTTTCGGTAGATAACACGCTGCACAACTCATGAAACAGTTTTACAAGACAGATAGTTAGAGCTTAGAAAAGCACATTCATATTGACACCAAAATACAGTAGAATTATATGGAAAGCAGAGATCCTCGAAGCCAAACATCTGAACTTGAGAGCTTTTGAATGACGATCATGCGATACGATGGGAAGTAGAACCTATTGGTCCCCATAGCCTATAAAGAATACAACTTTTGATAGATGCTGTTAAGTTGAAATAAAATTTGAGTAGTCCAATATGTTTGACCACTATAATTGATATTTCATCGCATGAAAGGATAATAGGAAGTAACTCTTTGTATAAGCAACTTTTCCTTAACTTAACGTCAACGTTTTTAGTAAAAAATATAAGTTTTCAATGTATCCTTCTCCCCACAATATCTAATCTATGAACACCTGGTGAGATACTCCGACAGATGCATAAAGAAATTATGATGTGTGTTGGAAGGAAAGCTTCATGGTATCTTCACATGTGCATCTTATATTCAACATTGTACTTGCGAAGGAAATATTAGTTCGTGGATGTAAACTGCTGACAGATGAACATGGATTGGTTGAGCAGTCTAACGTCTTCAGATAAACACCAAATTGTAACGTACAACATGAAAACACACGTTCTGTCGACTAGATGTTTTTTCTCATGGGGATCAGTGGTGATATTCACTTCCTAATCAGTATAAACAGATATTTGATGGAATCCCGTAAAAAGGTATGAATATAACATATAGCCAGGTTATGTACAGCTTCGGAAAAATCAATATTATCTACACTGAATACTGATGGAACGTTGTCAGATTGTTAAAAAAGAATAATCTATCTGAAGTACTGGAAGTCACTACTATGTTATGCTTTAGTAGTTCACCGAATCAGCACAAACTGTGAAACAGTGGATACGCAGTTTATATTGTCTTCTTTATTTGTACTCACTGCTCTTTTTGAGCTATCATCCCTGACCACAGAATCCAATGGCCCTATAATTTCATTTTAATGAAAATAATAATAATATCACTTTATTCTGAGTAGTACTCAAAGCATTCCTAATGTGATTTTACCTGCTTTTCATATGGAATATCATTCTACGGAACACTACTCGTTCTGAAACATACTACAACACCCGAATACTGTATCCCTGTCAAACCATTCTAAAATGCAAGTGAGCACTAATCGCTGCTCAAGAGCATATTTATTTTTTTAAACAACACAAATTGAGCAATTTTCATGAAGTATGCTATATGAAGTACGTAGCTCCATAACCTAACTGAATCGTTGCCAAACACCAGTCATTGTTGGCCAAAGTGTCAATGTAGGTGAAACACACCTATACATCGGCTAATCATGTTGTTAAGCAGCGTAAAATGTGCATATCGCGATTCGACCAAATAGGGTAACTCTGCATGTTCGAAAACAGCTTAGTTTCTACTGTACTGGCTACAGAATATATAGAGAAATCAACTACTTCACATTCCGAAATTACTTCACTATCAGTGATTTGAATTCACGTTGTTCAAGTACCAACAAATACTCAAAAATACCAGGAGGTGATTGTCAACAATGAATTCTATACTTCAAAATACTAATGCGGAAATGTAATTGTAATGAACAAGAATGTTCATAGTTCTTTTTGCTACTAGACGATAAGGCACTGCATTCTCCAACCACTAATGTAAAAGGCATGGATCAGTCTGTCAGATATAAAGAATGTTCTATTTCAGTAGTCGACCTCACTGTTAAACTGAAGAAATTGATATTTATAGAATGAATGCTTCCCAAATCATGTGATGAATGGTCTTTGAGGTGATTCCTTTGAATTTCAATGCTTTCGCGAATCTCAGCATGTCAATACACCCACACACAAAATACAGCGATTACTGCTAAAAATAGGTTTAGATGATTGAATACTGAAACTGAGTCACATGTTATTCCAAGAAACCTGGCTGGACTCATTTCAGTCACATTGAAAAATGCCTATAATTAGTTGCACTATATCTATTAAGATGGTTTCGATGTTTCAGTATGCTGATTGGATCCTTTATATATCATACACTCGTATCAGGATTCATCAAACAAAACATTGTTTTAAGAGGTGGTGTAGATCAACCTTCAGTTCATTATTATCTTGCAGTTTCTTTATATGATTAATTGACATAACGTCTGCATCACAGATTACTTGCTTCTTTACGGACTTTGGTGACAAATAAAATCAAATCACTTGGAATTCATCTCAGCAAATATGAAACTGTTACTTAATCCAGTCCATAAAGTTTGGTGATCGCGAATAATAATGTCTTTGAATGTATTCTCGCCACGCAGCTAGTGTGATTATGTAGTGCAAACACATTACTGTTAGAATTTAGAGCCTTGAAGTCGCACCTACGTCACAGTATTTATTGATCCTACAAGTCGTCACACATATTTAAGATGATTACTTCAGGATAGTGACTGTATACATCTGTAGGAACATGAGATAGTCCAAGAGAGAAATATCACCTTGCGATTTCTCTACAGTTCGTGTCGAATTAAACTCGTCAATTGAATGTAGTTCAGGAACACGAATTATACGCTTTGCAATATAATATTCTGTGTTTGTTATTATATTCTTGATGAAATTATGGCTGGTTTCGTGTCGTAGATAAAGGGGGAGTTTTAAACAATATCTGAAAACGTTTCAGGAATAATTTGATGATTGTCCCTCTTATAAGTTGTGAAACTGAGATATACATTACTAATGATAATGAGGGTAGATAATGGGATTAAAATATATACGTGACGATGAAATGTCAGTTTCGATGGTGTCAGTGAAATAAGAAAATATTCCAGTTTGGGTTCAAGTCAATTTCTGTATGAGTGAGCATAAAACGTTTTTTGAAAGTTAAGATTAATTTGAAGGATTTCATTAGCAACTGACTCATCTGTGGTTAGCGATCCTGAGCTTAGAAACCTCCATATTCGAAACAACACCATGCATAAAATGGAAAAGACTGAACTCTTAGTAATTTTTGAACTGTACTCAATA